GTCTCGCTCTTGCTCAGCTGGTCTCGAACTCCTGACCTGCGACCTCCCGCGCCGGCCTCCCAGAGTGCTGGAGTTACAGGCGTGAGCCACCGCGCCGGCCTCCAACTACTTTTCACGTCTGCTTTTTGTCGTTCAGCGAAGCTCGTGCCCGTTTGTTTCCCAACAGCTGTTCGTATGCTGTGGCGGGACGATTAAGCCAAGGGAAGGCGGCACAAGCCGCGGAGACGCCGGCGTCCGACCGGCGCGACCCGCGGGTGCCGGGCGCGCACGCGGGGACCCCACGGCGCGCCGCAGGCCGGCCTCGGGCTGCCCGTCCCGCGTGCCGCCCGCCCCTCAGCCGGCGCGCGGCCTCGCGCCGCCCGCTCCGCCCGCACTCACTCACGTGGCCGCGAGCGTCGGGCCCGCGCCGCCGCGCCGCCAAGAAGCCCCGCGTCGCCCGGCGCGCCAGACCGCGCCGCCATGGCCGCCCGAGGAGGGCTGCCCGCGCACTGCTGCGCGCCGCCGCGCCGCCCGGCCCGAAGGCCCGGGAGCTTCGCTGGCCGCCGGCTCTGCAGGCCGCCCTCAGTCCTGCCGCCGGCTCTCCGCGCGTCCCCACCCGGCGCTGGCTCGCCCGCCTGTCCCGCTCCTCGGGGTCCGGAACCTGCCCTCGCCTCGGCGCCGGCTCCCTCCTGGCGGCGGGCGCGCAGCGGGCGGCATGTCGGTGTCGCGGGCAGGGGGCCAGCCCGTGGTCGCTAAGTCAGCACTCGCGGGGACAGTGAGCCACAGTGGTCAGCCTCGGGGGCTCGCTAAGTCAGGCGGCCGAGGGGTCGAATGTTCGCCCGGTCCAGTCATTGCTTAGCGGCCCGGTCCAGGCCAGCTGGCTCACCCGTATTTGCGGAGATGGAAGAGTCTGGAAAACCTGGCTTGCAATGTTCTCTCAAAAGTGGTTGTTTCGTGGCGTCAGCCTGGCTTACGGCACCTTCTTGCTCAGGCTGGTTTCGAACTCCCGACCTTGAGCGATCCTCCCACCTCGGCCTGCCAGAGTGCTAGGATTACAGGCGTGCCCACCGCGCCCACCCGGTATTCTTTCTTTTACATATCTGTGTATTTATTTATTTTGTTTTTTTGCGAGGTAACTGGCATACCATAAAATTAACTCTTTAAAGCATACAGTGTTTTTTATTATTAATATATTCACTTGTATCTTTTTTTTTGCTAAATAGTTTAAACATATTAATATAAGCAGTTTCGAAGAGGATATAGAAAAAGTTTTGCAATCAAGTTTAACCTAGCAGTTGTTAGCAGTTCAACCAGTTGGGCTTAGAAAAAATAAAGCTTTTGCCACAAAATGGCCTAATATTTATGGACTTTTGGCCTGGCCTACCTTCTTCCTGTTTGCCCACTTGACAAGATGGAACTGTTTCAAAAGCAAAACTCAGGGAAGAGTCACTACTACGGGGGCCCTGATCAAATGTCACTGGTCTCCAGGCATTTACCTAAGACACGATGGTTTCTTTTGTCTGCTATGGAAGGGAGACAGATACTAGGTGTGGAATTAAAGCTTGTATTTCCAATATTTACCTTGGGTGTTTATGATCACAAAAAAATACTCCTCATTTGCTCATTCAAGTGAGAACTGAAAACTGAACTGGCAGTGTTAGTGACCATTCACTTTCAGTATGTTTATTTTCATCATTTTCCTTCCTTAACACTGCTATATATGAGACTGTGAGGTCTCAGGTCTAGTTGTGAAAGCAGAGACAGTAGGATGCGAGGGTCCAAGGAAGTGCTCTCCGCCAAAGGCGGCTGGGAATGTTCTGCCCCTCACAGGTAGCTCCCCAATTAATGGGATTTAAGTCCCTTAGCAAAGGTTTACCAGCTACATCCTCTAAAACGGATACCATACTTGACTTGGGATGGTTTAGCTGGTCTTGGACCACTTCCTCCCCCCCCCCCACTTCCCTTTCCCTCAGAACTAGTGTTTCCTGGCTGATCCTCTCTATACTTGAACCTCCTTTCTGAGGAACAACTGCTCCATGATTCCCTCCAGGGGAACCCCATGTAGCTGATCTCAGTGAAGGGTCAGAAGCAAAGCCATGGATCTCTGGTCATTCTGAGAGCTTTCCCTCACCCCCTAGATGAGAGAAGGGCCCCATTATACATCAAGAGGCATGAAAATTCTTGTATCTTTGATAGAATAATTCCCACTCTGCAGATACACCTCCAAGGAAATGAGACTATATACAACAATAATATCCAGCAAAAGATGACAGGTTAGGTAAGTAATGTTGAATCTACTCAAAGGCCTATAATATAGCTAAGGTTAGGAAAATAATTACTAACAATGAAATATTTATCATTTGTTAAGAAAAAAAAAAAGGCAAGTTGCTACATTATAGCTGGTATGACTACAACTATGGGAGGCACACCCAGGAGAAAGACTAGAGGGAAATGCATTTGATGAGGCCAACCAAGCAGGGTGCATCCCACGTAGAGGTTCTAGACTCTAGAGTAAGAATACTTCGGTTTGAAGCTTGGTCCCACCACTGGAAGCTGCATAACCAAAAGCAAGTTATTTGGGGTCTCAGTTTACTCTTTCAAATGAGGATATTTTACAATTTAATAGGGCTGTCATTGGATAAATAAAGTATTAATAGTATATGTAAAGCGTTTAAAATAGTACCTGGCACTCACATAGTAATAACTCAAATGTAAGTTATTATAAGAGATGGACTCACTAGAGGCTTTGCTTACATTTGTATTTTAAGAAAATACACAAAAACCTTCATGTGAAGGTTTAAATCCCAGCTTCATCAATTTACCATCTGTGTAACCCGGGCAAGTTATTTAACCTCTCTCTGCCTAAGTCTGCTCATTTATACAATGGAAATAACGATGGTACCATTCTGAGTCACAGTCCCCTCCTGCTAGTGACCACCCCAGCCATAGCTGTTCTCAACATGACACATAAAGTTGTAAACTCCCATTCAATACTCTGAGAAGGAGACTCACCTAAGGTTCTATTTCTATAGAATTTAGGGTGCCTTATGAAATAAACACTTTATCTACAACACTGGAAGCAACTGGTATAAAAGTTATTTATCATGAGGTAATCAACTCGCTGAAATCTAAATTTAAAGGGATCTTTTAGAAAGAGCTTTTCAATGTTGTTTCTTTACTAAATGTGTCCTGAACTAGACTGGCATCAACCTGTGGGCAAAAACAGTGTTTTATACTTTTGGATCTAACTAAACCAAGCATAGTGCTAGGAACATTTTAAGGTTCAATTAATGCATGCTGCTTAGGTAACTATGACTAGAACTTACACTTTACCACAGAACTGACAATATTATTAAATGAGCTTTAGGTATAGCATTTACTTTTTCCTAACATTTGTCTTACCCAGAAACAAATTAAACTACTTCAAATTCTTTCAGTGAAAGAAGAGATCACAAATGTCAAGGTATTTGACTCTTTTATTTTCCATCAGTTGCTACTTGGAGGGTCATACTAATCAATTCTAGTTACTCTTTCCATAACAACACTTTCTGCTATGGACTCTGGAAGAGAAATTGCAAACAAAAAAAAATCAACCTTCTGAAACATATATAAGGAATCACGAGTTTTCTAAAACTATAACCCAAAAGTCCTATTTTTGCCACCTTCTTAGTAAACATATTGTCATTAACTCACTATTCCACCAGAATGTCTTCACATTTCAAACTGGATTACTCTTCATGTATAGGATAACGTCCAAGTAGTAAAAATAAGAACAGGGCATTCTAGTGAATATTTTTTTGCATTTGCTTATGGCAATTCTAGTTAAAATACCAGTTTAGAATTTTTTGACGCATTCAGTAATAGTTCAACAAATGCATGATTTTTTTAATCTAAGTGAACTTGCAAGTCAATACTTCACTAGATAAAATGAAGCTGTAGCACTAATTTCTGAAATGAAGGACAGAAATTCCTCTTTCCAACTTTTCTTTTCAGTCCATCATTATTCCACATGTTCCTGCTCTTGTCCTGGAATGAGCCACCGAATACTCTCAGTCCGAATGGTAGCATACATAATGAAACTAATTAAAAAGAATAAGGAAAATACAAGCAACCAGTCCACACTTTTTATCAACGTGCTGGGAAGAGGACCTATTTGGTCCGCTTGAGTTACCATCACATTTTTCTTGGCTTCTATACCTGAAAGAGAAATCAATTGTTTCAAATCAGATAGAAAAAGCACCCGCCATTGATTTTTCTGAAGTATTATACATGGTATGCAAAATGACATCAAGTCCTAAAATAAACACCACTGCTATTATGTCTGGGATGGATTTCACTTGCCTGTCAGTATAATTTGTAACTTGCCTTTCCCCACACCACATCAAAGGACAGGAATCCATTCAGCTGTTCAAAGCTAAAGCACTAGAATTCTGTGAACTCACCAAAGGTTTCTTAGTCAATGCAGTCTAAGAGATGTCTTTTGTTCTCTTTTGAGGCTAAAGTTCAGTAAGTAACTAGTAAAGCTTCTCTTCAGAGTCTACAGAATGTTTTCAAAGGTTAAGTAATACTAAATTCAAAATGCTTTTTAAATAATTTATTCAAAGAATTGTTAAAACAACTAGCCAGCACTTGGATCACTGATTACCAAAGATGCCTTGAGGAAGACTGCACTAGTGTTCTAGGTTTTCTTAAAGCAGTGAACAAAATGCTCCCTCTCCCACATCAATCTAAATGACAATCAGGGATCCAGTATAAGACTTGAAATAGGGCCACTGTGTGGCTCACTCCTGTAATCCCAGCACTGTGGGAGGCCAAGGCAGAAGAATCACTGGCTAGGAGTTAGAGAACAGCCTGGGCACATAGTGAGACTTTTTCTCTACAAAAAATAGGAAAAATTAGCCAGTGTGGTGGCACAAGCCTGTAGTCCCAGCTACTCGTGAGACTGAGACAGGAGGATGGCTTGAGCCTGAGAGTTCAAGACTGTAGTGAGCTATGATGGCAGCACTGCACTCCAGCTTGGGTGACAGAACAAGCCTCTGTCTCTAAGACAAAAAAAAAAAAAAAAGACTTGGAATAACTAACCACCTTGCAATATCCCACTTTTATTCCTGTAACCTAACTCAGCTGTTTTTCTCTTTAATATCAGATAAAAGTGATTACATGCAACTAAATATATATGGAATGTGTGTTATAATTTGTATTTATTTCCAGTAAATGTACTTTAGGAAGAGTAGAGTGTTCATAAGTGAGGCATTAAGGTTTTTGAGGAAGCTGGGCATGGTGGCTCACACCTATAATCCTAGTACTCTGGGAGGCTGAGGCAGGAAGATCACTTGAGCTCAAGAGTTTGAGACCAGCCTGAGCAAGAGTGAGACCCCCGTCTCTACTAAAAACAGTAAAAAAAAATTAGCTGGGCGTGGTGGTGCATGCCTGTAGTCCCAGGTACTCAGGAGGCTGAGACAGGAGGATCTCTTGAGCCCAGGAATTTGAGGTTGCTGTGAGCTATGTTCATGCCACTGCACTCCAGCCTGGGTGACAGAGTGAGACTCTGTCTAAATAAATACATACATAAATACGTTTTTTTTTTTTTTTTTGAGACAGAGTCTCGCTTTCTTGCCTAGGCTAGAGTGAGTGCCGTGGCGTCAGCCTAGCTCACAGCAACCTCAAACTCCTGGGCTCAAGTGATCCTCCTGCCTCAGCCTCCCGAGTAGCTGGGACTACAGGCACAAGCCACCATGCCCGGCTGATTTTTATATATATATATTAGTTGGCCAATTAATTTCTTTCTATTTTTATGGTAGAGACGGGGTCTCGCTCAGGTTGGTTTTGAACTCCTGACCTTGAGCAATCCGCCCGCCTCGGCCTCCCAGAGTGCTAGGATTACAGGCGTGAGCCACCGCGCCCGGCCCCATAAATAAGTTTTTGAGGAATGAACTTTTCCAATGGAGAAAATGTCTTCAATTTACGAAGCTCAAACTTTTACAGAGTAAAAAATAAGGCCATATGTTTTGGCAAATATTAAGAAATTAAAATAGCATCTGCAAATGAATTAGTAAATGGAACATTAGCAATGAAACTAAACAAAACAACCATATACAACCATGCAGATGCATCTCACAAGGATTATTTTGGATGGAAAATGCCATACGCAATAGAATACCTATTAATATTATATGTCTCCACTAATATAAAGTTGAAAACAGGTAACAAGTCTATGCCATTAGGAGTAAAGATTGTGGCTACCTTTGGGGAGAGCAGGTTGCAGTAGTGCTGAGGGGAGCTGGTATGTTTGTTTCTTCATTTGAGTAGTGGCTACCCAGGGGGTCCCCTTTGTGAAAATTCATCACTCTAATGATTTATGCATATTTTTGTGTAAATATTAGACTTAAGTGTAAAATATATATATTAATAAAAAGATATCTACAAGTGAAATATATAGTATGTGAATTATATTTCAATAAAACTATTTTTTTAAAAAAGGTATCTACAACATTAAAACTACCTATTAATGTTAAGCTTGACATTGGGATTTATTTTAACAGGATCGTAACAGTTCATAAGAAAAGAAGTTTTATATCTCAATATCCTTCACTTAGGATAAGGATTATAGCAGATCAGAACCCAAAAAAGGCATATACCCTCAGCATATTATTTCTACATACCTGTCTGATTGAAAATGAAGATTTTCAGTGTTTCCAATGTTCTATCTGTGTGGTTAAATCTAGCCATTGGTTTAGCTCCTTGAAATAGCAAAATGTTAGGAACAGCTACGGTGCCAAACCTGGTGGAAAGGCTACAAATAGAAAGAAGTCAGTCCGTAAACCTGAATTTAATACCAGTGGGCTTTCTCACACAATTACCATATCAGAATGGATGGAAATATATAAATGAGAAAAGATTGGTGTATCATGTGACCTAAGGAGGGGCGTCTTTGATACTCAAACTTGAGGCTTTTTAGTTTTTTTCTGCCCTCTTTCTTTACAGGGAATGGTTGGGGCATTCCTGTTCTGCAATCTGAGTTACTTTCTATGATAGTATGGATGTACCCATAACAATTATTCCACCATTTAAGTTCCTAACTGTCAAAACATGTCACACCAGAAACTTCTAATTCATGGACAAAGCACACAATGTCAGTTTGCTTGATAGAAAAAATTTCCAACTCTTCAGAATACCCATCCCCATCCCTCAGAAAAGATCAACTTATGGTATGCGATTAGTTTGGTGAATTGGCACAAGGGAATAGATGATCTAACAAACACACCAGGAAGTTCACGATTCGGGCTGGGCAACTTGCCCGAAAGCAATATGATCCGTGTAGGCTTGTCACACCTTTACATAACAGGTATCGGTGGTGATAAGCTCCCACATCAACTCACTGGCTTCAAGCCTCAGTTCTGCCCCTGAACCAGCTGGGTGACCTCTGGGCAGGCGATTTAACCCCCCCAAGCCTCAGTTTCCCCCATTAGTAAAACAGTAATATTGGATGATGAGGATCTTTTTGTGTAAACATGTTGTAACTTAAATATTAACATATGAGGCAAACACGTGCCAGCCCACATAGTAAGAACAAGTGCCCCAGTCTCCATAATCAAGGCACCATACCAGGGACTACAAGGAAATGAAGGAAAGAAAGAATAAATGAGATGGGGGGTGTATGGGAGAGACAGTGGGGAGAGACGGTGTGACACCCAAAGCCAAACACTGCTCCGTATGCTTGGGGACAGTGGAGGGCCCAGCCACAGTCAGACATGGACCTGAACTGTCCTTCCAATCAGTCTGTTCCTTTGCACCTGGCCACTTAGACATTTCCCCGAAGCCCATGTGAGAACTGTTAATTTGCTGGGCAATTTATTTCTTCATAAACAGTTTCAGGTAAACACTGGCAGTTATACTCCCACACTGAAAAATCAGTGGAGTACAAGCCAATGGTTTTACTCAACTTCATTTTACCACCAATTTGACCATTTTCCAGACATTCTAGATTTACTCACCTCCTTGTGACCTGCTAAGGAGAATTTAGAAGAGAAGGGACCACAGTTTGCAACCCAGGCACAGTCACAGCACTCAGGGGCAATATCTAACATCTGAACCAAGTGCTTTGTAACTTATTTTACTGAACATTTAAAAAAGACAAAAGCCCAGTGAACAATATAAAAGAAATATAAAACAAGAATATGGGTAAATGTCATTGTAAAGAGCTAAATTAATCCATTACTTTATTGTCTACTACAGAACATGCATGCGAGAATAAATGTAAGTAAGAGAAAACAAAGGAGGGAAGGAAAGAGAAAGAAAACAAAAGAAGGAAAGAAAGAAATCCTGAGTAGACACAGAACAGGGGTGGGGACCTAAAATGCAGGTTACAGTCACAAAGGAATACCCTACTGTGATACCAATTGTGCTAATTCAGTCTGGCCAGGACCCTAAAAAGCCCCTTGGCCCCTTCCTTGCCACCGTTAAACCTACCACACAAAAAGTCTGACAATCCTCACCCCTTACTCTTGCGGTTCCCATCCTTCAATCTGGTTGCAAAGTTCATGGTCACCTCCTCTGCTTCTTAACTAATTACAACTTCCAAATAACTGCAACCATCGGCCAAAAGGCTGAGCATGAACCCCACCGAGCAAAGGTACCTGCTGTGCTGAGATGCATCCAGAGCCAAAAAATGAAGCGTTGGAAACGCCCGGGGCAGAGAGTTAAAATGAGGGGCCAAGCTGGCAGAGAATCGGCACCACGGGGTGTAAAACAGCACTAGAGTACAGTCGCTGCCGTTCGGGTTCAGGAAGTCCATGAGGTCCTGAGGTAGAAGAAACAAGTGTTAAAGTTAGCAGTAAATGTACAAATACATTCTTCTGAAAGGACACGCAAGAAACGACTGGCAGGCGGGGCAGGGAGAGGCAGGAGACTGCACTGGACATCTTCAAGCAGCTTTTAGATTTTAAACCGTATGAATCCATGAATCAACAGAAAAGTAGTATCAAATGACAAGTTATACACTTTCCTAATATTACTACAGAGCTATGTTAATATTTTTCATAACTGATCAATTCAAACACAGGCATAGCTCGTTGGATTGCACTTCGATCTATTGTGCTTTGCAGATATTGCCTTTTTTACCAATTTAAGGGGAGGGGCAACCCTGCCTCAGTCAGGTCTATCGGTGCCATTTTCCCTGGAGCATGTGCTCACTTCATGTCTCTGTCACGTTTGGGTAATTCTCACAAGAGTTCCAACTTTTTCATCATTATTATATCATAACTGTTATGGTGATCTGGGATCAGAGATCTTTGATGTTACTACTGTAACTGTTTTAGGGTGCCACAAACCATGACCACGTCAGACGGCAGCTTAATGGATAAACGTGTGTGTCCTTACAGCTCCACTGACCGGCCTTCCCCTGTGTCTCTCCCCCCCTCAGACTCCCCTGTTCCCTGAGACACCACAATATTGAAATAAGGTCAGTTACTAGCCCTACAGTGGGCTCTAACTGTTCAAATGAAAGGAAGAGTCACACATCTGTCACTTAAAATCAAAAGCTAGAAATGATTAAGCTTAGCGAGAAACGCAAGTTGGAAGCTGAGACAGGCCAAAAGCTAGGCCTCTTGGGCCAAACAGGTAGCCAACTTGTGAATGCAAAGGGAAAAGTTGAAGGAAATTAAAGGTGCTACTCCAGGGGACACACAAATGATAAGAAAGCAAAACAGCTTATTGCTCACATGGAGGAAGGCTGAGTACTCTGGATAGAAGATCATACCAGCTACAACATTCCCTTAGACCAAAGCCTAATCCACAGCAAGGCCCCAACTCTATTCAATTCTATGAAAGCTGAGAGAGGTAAGGAAGATGCAGACGAAAAGTTGGAAGCTAGCAGAGGTTGCTTCATGAGATTTAAGCAAAGAAAAGACACCATCTCCATAACATAAAAGTACAAAGTAAAGCAGCAAGGGCTGATGGAGAAGTTGCAGCAAGTTATCCAGATCTAGCTAAGGTAGTAAATGGATGAACGTGGTACACTAAAAAACAGGTTTTTAATGTAGACAAAACAGCCTTATATTGGAAGATGCCATCTAGGACTTTCATACCTATAGAAGAAAAGTCAATGCCTGGCTTCAAAGCTTCAAAGGACAGGCTGACTTTCTTCTCAGGGCTAATGTAGCTGGTGACTTTAAGTCACTTACCATTCCAAAAATCCTAGGGCTCTTAAGAATTATGCAAAATCTGTTCTGCCTGTACTCTAGAACTGGACCAACAAAGCCTAGATGACAGCACATCTTTACAGTATGGTTTGCTGAATATTTTAAGCCCACTGTTGAGAACTACTGCTCAGAAAAAAAGATTCCTTTCAAAATGTTACTGTTCATGGACAATGCACCTGGTCACCCGTGAGGTGACATCTAATGGAGATGTACAAGGAGATTAATGTTGTTTTCAGGCCTGCTAATACAACATCAATTCTGCAGCCTGTCGATCAAAGAGACTTTCTGACTTTCAAGTCTTAGTACTTAAGAAATACATTTCATAAGGCTATGGCTACCATAGATAGTGATTCCTATGAAGGCTCTGGGGGAAGTAAATTGAAAACCTTCTTGAAAGAATTCGCCCTTCTAGATATCATTAGGAGTATTTGTAATTCACGGGAGGAAATCAAAATATTAACATAAATAGTTAGAAGAATTGATTCCAAGTCTCATGAATGCGTTGGGAGGGCTCCAAGACTTCAGTGGAGGAAGGCACTGCAAATGTGGCAGAAATAATGACAGAACTGGAATTCTACGTGGAGCTGAAGATGTGCCGAGTGCTGCAATCTCGCGATAAGCCTCGCATGCATGAGGAGCTGCTTCTTATGGATGAGCAAAAAAAAGGGGTTTCTTGAAATAGAATCTACTCCTGGTGAAGATGCTGCGAACATTGCTAAAAAGACAACAAAGGATTGACAATATTCCACAAATGTGGCTGACATAGCAGCAAGAGGATTTAAGAATATGGACTCCCAACTTTGGAAGAAGTTCTACTGTGGTAAAACGCTACCAAACAGCATGGCATGCTACAGAGAAGCCTTTCATGAAAGGAAGAGCCGACCACTGTGGCAAACGTCACTGCTGTCTTATTTTAGGAAATGCCACCACCACCCCGATCGGTCAGCAGCGAGCCACAGCGAGGCGAGATCCTCTACCGGCAAAACATTATCACTCGCTCAAGGCTCAGATGACCAGTAGCATTTTTTAGCAATAAAGTTTTTTTGCTGTTTTTGTTTTGAAAGAGTCCGGCTCTGTTTAAGACAGGGTCTCGCTCTGTCGCCCTGGCCAAGGTGCAGTCACCACAGGTCGCTGCAGCCTCGAACCCCTGAGGAGCTGGGACTTCAGGTGTGTGCCACCATGCCTGGCTTCAAAGTTGACGGGGTTTCAAACCATAAAAATGCATGTGCTAAAGATGAGGAAAAAGTACTCTACATAACTTTTTCCCTTACCTGTGACATATTTAAAATTTTCAGAGTGAAATTCTCCAGGCCCGTCACATTCCTCTCCTCACAGTTCACCTTGGGGGATTTCAGGCTGTCGGTGCTGTTGGCGTCCTCGGCCGGGGCCGGGTCGGACTCCGCCACCTCCGGCTCGGGGTCGTCCTCGTCCTCCCGGTCGGGGAAGGCGGCGCCGGCGCCACCGGTCAGGGAGAAGAGGTTTTCGCGGAGGTGGCACCTCGAGTCCTCCTCGCCTCCCACGCCACAGGTGTCGCCGCCGCCGCCGCCTGGCTCCGCGCTCGGCTTCTCCTCGGCGTCCCCCGGGACCACAGACAGCATCACCACGCGGTCGCCCGCCGCGTCCGCGCCCACCTGGCCGCGCGGGGGCTCCTCCTCGCCCAGGTGCGCGGCGCCCGCCTGCAGGGGGTGCGCGGGCTGCTCCTCGGCCCGCGGGCGACCGCCTTCCTCTGCGACTGAAACACGCGGGCACTCGGTCACGTCTGACTTCGGCAGCGACGAACCCCCCACCCCCGGAGAAGGACGGCTCCCCTCGGATGTGAAATTTTCCTCTCTGGAGAGAACAGTCGTCCTGCCCACGAAGCCACCCACCACTCTCCAGGCCAGAAGAAAGGGCTTACAGGGGGCACGAGATTCATGAGTACCAAATAAATGAAGGGACAAATATCTGCATAGCTCCGCCCGACACCTGCCACTTGCCGTGTGGGTTATAGCCAGAAACATTCCAGTGCGGACAGCCAATAAAGAAAATATAATAAAATCACTGCAACATTTTCGTTTGGTAAGAATACCGAAGAAAGGCCGGGCGCGGTGGCTCACGCCTGTAATCCTAGCACTCTGGGAGGCCGAGGCAGCAGATCGCTCGAGGTCAGGAGTTCTTAACCAGCCTGAGCAAGAGAGAGGCCCCGACTCTACTAAAAAAAAAAATAGAAATTAACTGGACAACTAAAAATATATATAGAAAAAAGTAGCCGGGCATGGTGGCGCATGCCTATAGTCCCAGCTACTCGGGAGGCTGAGGCAGGAGGATAGCTCGAGCCCAGGAATTGGAGGTTGCTGTGAGCTAGGCTGACACCACAGCACTCTAGCCCGGGCAACAGAGTGAGACTCTGTCTCAAAAAAAAAAGAATACCAAAGAAAAATAATAATGGTTTTATGCAAGATTCTACTCAGGCAAATCTTCTTTGCACACATTGTAAGAGCTCTGCGACATGGGCAAGACAAGGGTGGTCAAGCCCACTTAACAGATGACCACGCTGAGGCACAGAGAGGCTCACCGAGGTGCCCAGTGGCACACAGCGGGCAAGCAGCAGGGCCAGGCCTCAGAGCACAGTCTCTGGCTGCAGCTCCACAGTGGGCCTTCCCCTCCCTGCCACCACACCGGGGGCATGCTGAGCCTGAGGTAAGGCGGGAGAAGTGACAAGGTAGGGCTAGACAGGGCAGAGTGTGGGGCTTGGGCAGCAAGGTGAGACTCTGGCAGAAGGTCAAACGCTTCTGTGACGACAACACAGAGAAAGGGCTGGTGCCCCAAGATGACCAACGATCCACCCCCTGGCTGATGTTATCCTCAAGACTGGCAGGCACGTGACCCTGACTGCAAGGCGGGCTCACACCGGCTGTACGATTAAATCCTGTGAATCGGCCGGGCTTCTGCCAAGAGGCAGCACATTTAACTTGGGCAATTTCCAGACAGTTTTGTTTTTGTTTTGTTTTTTTTTTGTTTTTTTGAGACAGAGTCTCACTTTGTTGCCCAGGCTAGAATGAGTGCCGTGGCGTCAGCCTAGCTCACAGCAACCTCAAACTCCTGGGCTCAAGCGATCCTCCTGCCTCAGCCTCCCGAGTAGCTGGGACTTTAGGCATGCATCACCATGCCCAGCTCATTTTTTCTATATATATTAGTTGGCAAATTAATTTCTTTCTATTTATAGTAGAGATGGGGTCTCGCTCTTGCTCAGGCTGGTTTCGAACTCCTGACCTCGAGCCACCTTCCCGCCTCGGCCTCCCAGAGTGCTAGGATTACAGGTGTGAGCCACCGCGCCCGGCCTCGGGAGAGTTTAATAAAGCGGCCACCAATGTGTGGGCTAGGCGTGGAGAAGTTAAGGGCGATGGTAAGGCTCTCCATGGCCAGTAATAGCAGGGGGCAGCCGGTTGCCACTCACAGACCTTAAGGGTCCAGAGGCAGAAGCAGCCACAGAACCTGGAAACACAAGGGCAACACAGAGGCAGTTTCTAGAAGTCATCACCTTTCACCAGGGGGACACAGCAAGCCTGTATTATATCCTGATCTCACTCTCGACTCATTCCAACCAAAAGGAAACCAGAAGACAGGACAGCTGGTATTTACTCCACACAGGGTGGAGAACCTGGGGAATGACATCCAGCACATGCCATCATCCCAGTGAGGCCGGTGGAGAAGAGCAGTGGGAATACAGAGGTGTGGCTGGAAGTCAAGCAGAATGCTTCAATCAGGGCTCCCAGACTTCTGGCTGTATGACCTTGGCAAAGGCCTTACTGGCTCTTAGTCTCAGTTTACTCATCTATAAAACAGGAACAGCTTTGGGAGGCCAAGGTGGAGGATCGCTGGAGGCCAGGAGTTCGATACCTGCTTGGGCAACATAGCAAGACCTCATCTCTACAAAAAACCTAGCCAGGTGTGGCGCCAGGCACCTGTAGTCCCAGCTACTCAGGAGGCTAAGGCAGGAGGATTGCTTGAGCCCAGGAGTTTAAGGCCCTAGTGCGCTATGATCCTGCTCTGCCACTGCACTCCAGCCTGAGTGACAGAGTAACACCCTGGGGGGAACAATACCATCTGCTGAATAAGCATTTAAGGATTAAATAACATGCTGCTCCTACAGCACCCGCCAAAGTGCCTGGCAGTGAGTGCTTTCATTGTGCCCCTTTACTTGTGCTACTATTCCTCCCCTTGCTCAGCAAGAGTCTACTGCCCTGCCCACTTCCAAGACACCCCAGGAAAAGCCAAGACCTGCCTATTCCTGCCAAGGTCCCAGTGACAAGCAAGGCCACAGAGCGTGGACTGTAGCAGGGCCGTGAGGACTGGGGTGAAGGAGCCGAGAGAGTAAGGCCTCCTGGGCACCGGCTTCCCCACTAGAAGGAGTCCCTGAGAGCAGGCCCTGGCGAGCTGGGGGCTGCCCCGCAGTCTCCTGGGTTCTCCTGTATGTCCTTCGCGCAGGCGTCTGAGCAAGGGTGGCCTCCTTAAGAAAGCGGTCCAGCAGGGCGGGCTCCAGCGAGGGCTTCAGAGTCAGAGAGCCCAGCTCGGCCACGCGCCAGAAGCGCAAACTCAGGCAGCCGGCGCGGCCTCTCCGAGTCTCAGCATCTTCCTTTGAGAAACGGAACCGCTCATGGGAACCCCGACCTTGCAGGGTTGGTGGCGGTTAATCGAGATGATGATGTAAAAGCACTATGTACAGTTCCTGGCTCTGATAAGGCCACTGGAAATGTCAGCTATTATGACTATTATTTATTTTTTCTATATGTTTTTAGTTGGCCAATTAATATCTTTCTATTTTCTTAGTAGAGACGGGGGTCTCGCTCTTGCTCAGGCTGGTTTCGAACTCCTGACTTGAGTGATCCGCCCGCCTCCTCGGCCGCCCAGAGTGCTAGGGTTACCGGCCTGAGCCACCGCGCCCGCCACCGTTATGATTATCAGTAACAACGAGCTCATCACAGAGGGTATGCCTCTTACCACAGGGGCCCTGCTGCTGGCAGACGCCGGCTGAAGGGGCCTGAGCGCGGCCGCCCGCCTGGCCGAGCCCCTCCGGCGACCAGCGCACCTGAGGAAGAAGCGGCCGGGGACCGGCGCCGGGAGCGCGCCAGGAAGCGGAGAGGCGCGCGTCGCCGGCCCTCGCGGACCCCCACCTTGCCCGGTCACCTCACGCCCGCCGCCCCGGCCCTGCCCGGCCCGCACTCACCCTCCACACCGCGGGCGAGAAGCGCCAGCGCCCACAGCAGTAACTGCCACCAACCGAGAAGCCGCATGGCGCGGGGCGGCCGGCGGCCGGCGACCGGCGGCCGGGACCACCACCCAGGTGGACTGGCAACGGGCGCTCGGCGAGGAGCGTCGCGCTCCCTACCACAGAGGAAGGCTGGGGGAGGAGAGGCCGGGAGCGCGGGCGCGGGCCCGCGCCGCCATCTTGGCGCCTGGCAGCCGCCGCGAGCGCCATGTTGGAGTCGGGCGGATGGCCTCTGGCCTGGGGCCTGCGCCGCCGGCCTCGAGACCCCGCCGGGAGGCCAGCACCCGGCCTTCCGAGTCGTTTGGAACTCTCCGGACCCTAATTGAAATACAGAGCGGTGCTCCAGCCGAGGCCCGTGGCCTCCTTTGTTCCCGCACAAGTCGGACCCGGCTGCTTGGAGCACAGCGCCCGCCCGGGGAGCGTTTCCATGCTTCACTCCCAGGGCAGAAAGGCCCAGAAGCCTCCCTCAAGTGCCCCACTGAGGTGCAGAACCCTCGGAGGCTGTAACTGTTAGAATCCCTTCCGTTTCCCACGCTGCCTTACCTGGAGTTGCCAGAGAGAATACCGGATACCCAGTTAAATTTGAATTTCCCATAAACAATAATTTTTACCATAAGGGACATGCTTTATAACTGAGCATCCTATAATTTTATTTGCCGGATCTGGCAGCCCTAACCCTACCTGTCTACCCAGGGGAAGAGGTATTGGTTGGTTTCAACCAATTCACCACCCAGGCATTCTTCCTCCTCAAACCCACCCACCCAGGGCAGGGGCGGTGAGCATGGGCTCTGGGTCATGATGGAGCTGGAGCCACCCGAGCATAAAGCTAAGGAAGGGCTTAGAATGAAGAGGGCATAGATGGGGAGGGGAAGTGTGCCACTGAGGAACAGGACTCTGCATTCCCAAGCGAGGGCACAGAGGTGGGGATCTAAGAGACAATTCTTGGAGGGAATAGAGAGGATGACCCCATTTTGTCAGCAATGAGGGTGTTTTGGCAGGGAGGGCCTCCTAAAAATCGAAGAGAGCAAGTTTTGAGCAGCCACATCAGTGCAGTATTAATTAGTGCACAGTGGCTTTCAAATTTACTATGAAGTTGAAAAAAATAGAAATAGAAAAATTTCAAAGATCTTTACACCAATCTATTGGTTAACATAGCAATGTTAAGGGGAATCTGGGCTGTTTGGTCATGTGGTGAATCCCAGCTCCACTACTTACCATAGTATAGGGGCAGCAGGTTATGTAACCTTTCTTTAAGTTCAGTTTCTTTATCTGTAAAATGAGGATGAAATTATATACAGTCAGGGATTAAATGAAATGTAAAGTGATGAGCACAGTAAGCACTTCAAAGTGGTAGCCATTGTTAACTGATTCATACAATTCTAGTGGAGTAACTGTATCCTGTGTCCATCAAAGAAAGACTGTTAGACCAGAAAGATCATTAATTTGACCCCATGGATGATTTTTTTTTTTTTCTTTTTTGAGACAGTGTCTTGCTCTGTTCCCTGAGCTAGAGTGCCATGACATCAGCCTAGCTGACAGCAACCTCAAACTCCTGGGCTCAAGCGATCCTCCTGTCTGAGCCTCCCAAGTAGCTGGGAGTACAGGCATGCACCACCACACTAATTTTTTCTATTTTTAGTAGAAATGGGGTCTTGCTCTTGCTCAGGCTGCTTTCAAACTTCTGACTGAAGCGATCTTTCCGCCTTGGCCTCCCAAAGTGCTAGGATTACAGGTGTGAACCACCTCACCCTTTTGGATGATTCTTGTAAACAGGCTGCCATGGTTTTGCTATAGTAAATCCTCAAGTGTGGTTTTGTGGGTCCACAGGGCCTGAGACAATGGACATGGATGAAAGAGCCCATACTTCTAGAGCATGGGTGGGGAAGCTTTTCATGTTGGAAGGCCACATTAATTTAGGTGTAATCAAATAAGGCCACATTCAAGAAACTTGAGTTAGATACACTTTAAAAATGTACATTATTTTGTAAAAATCGACTACTATGTACTTAATTTCAGAAAACTAGAAAACAATTTGTTAATTTTAAAGTTAATGTTTTAATAACTTTGTTGTGTCTGCTTTTAGTTGGAAAGCATTTGAATATTTAGTTGCAGCATGGAGGTCCTCAGTTTCAGTTGATCCTCTAGATGGGTGTCAGTCATTTGTGACCTTAAGGGCATCTTGGCTTGGGTTAGGTGGGAGAATGTAGATTTGTAGTAATTTTAAGCAAGAAAGCATTTTTCGGGCGTGTTGCCAAAGTCATGGGTATTCTGCATTTTTCCATATTTCAATTGGGTCTTTCTTAGCATTAAACAATGACTTTAAGATGTCATCTACTGAGAGCTCAATCAGTTCCATCTGCAGTTCTTTAGGTGCCTCGGTGATACCAACTAGGTGAGGCTGAAACGCTAATTTGAGTGTGATGTCATGATTCTCAAAGTCAGTGAAACTTTCATTGTATTCTCCAATTAATAGGTCTATAACAGTTGCATATTCTTCAAATGATTTGCATATATCAGTCAATGGCCTTTGCTAACTGGGGAAATGTTCATCCAAAATTTCTTTTCGAAGAAGTGTTTTGAAAAAAGATAGCTTTTTTTGAAATGCTTGGATTTTTTGCCACATATCATTTATAGACTTAGTTTTACCTTGCAAAGAAATATTCAAGCCACTTTGATTAGACATATCACAGAAATGCTGCATTCCTACAGAAACCTTCTTTTAATAATTCACATTGCTGAATAATTCTGTTCTTCATAAAATTTAACTATCTGTTCTCACAGAGATAAAATTTTGGCTAATGCCTGTCCCTGCGATAACCAATTCACGTTAGAATGATATGGCAAATCCACACCGAAGACCTCATCTTTCAACTTTTCACATGTCACGAAACTGACCATGCCAAATTCCATTTGTTTTAATATAGTTAACAATACTTATATGTTGTTGCCAAATGGCACTTACAATAGTAGTATTAGCACAGAGATTTTCCAAATGCATGATAATGAAAAGAAATGACAGATCTGGGTCTGTTAGTATGTTTTTTCATCTGTGCGATAAACCCTTCATGTTTTCCTGTCATGGAAGGTGCACCATCTGTACATACACTCACTAAATTTACCAAATTCAGTCCAACTTCATGACATTTATCTTGAAAGTTGTTGATATCTATTCCCTGTGTTCTGTTCACAAGAGTGCCCAAAGCAAGTAACTCTTCATAGCAAAGAAAATCTTCTATTAGAACCTGAATGAAGTACAAAACCTGCACCGAGTCAGTAGTATTAGTTGATTCATCCAAAGCCAATTGAATAATATATATTTTCCTTTTGAAATAATGCATGAAGTTGTTCTATTAAATCGAAGACTAATTCATGCTGCTGATCAGTTATGGTTCTCCCTAAAAGACTGTTGTTTGCACTATCAGATGTTAACCGGGGTCTAAGCATCCTCAACTTCAACAATGCATTCTTTCACAATTTCTACATCACTGAATAGCTTTCCTTTGTTCCCGAGTATATAAGCTACTTTACAAGTTGCTTCACTGGCATTATTTCCAGGTCTTATTGCTGCTTGGAAGAATTGTCTTTGCTTTTACTTTTCATCTTTTAATTTCTGCCATACCTTTCTCACCTCTCCCTCTAATTTAAAATATTTGTGGCCCTTATGAGTGTTGTAATGCTGATGAGCATGGGATTTCTTTAATGTTGATATTGCAGTATCACAAAGCAAGCAAATCATATTATCTTTAGCAGAAGCAAGATGATATTGTAATTCCCAATCCTCATTAAAAAATGTTTTCTTCTGGCCAGGCTCGGTGGCTCATGCCTGTAATCCTAGCATTCTGGGAGGCCGAGGCAGGTGGATTGCTCGAAGTCAGGAGTTCGAAACCAGCCTGAGCATGAGCGAGACCCTGTCTCTACTATAAATAGAAATTAATTGGCCAACTAATATATATGTAGAAAAAATTAGCTGGGCATGGTGGTGCATGCCTGTAGTCCCAGCTACTCAGGAGGCTGAGGCTCCTTGCTTGAGCCCAGGAGTTTGAGGTTGCTGTGAGTGAGGCTGACGCCATGGCACTCACTCTAGTCTGGGCAACAAAGTGAGACTCTGTCTCAAAAAAAAAAAAAAAAAATGTTTTCTTCTTTCAGTGTTCTCTTGGTCTTGGTCTTTGACATGGTGTGTTAAGTAGACAGAGTTTAAAAATATTTTTAAAATATTTTGCACAATACAGTTGAGCTGTGTAACTATTCATAAATTCCACTTCAAACAGAAACACAGTACACTGTTGTCAAAAGCTGATAACAGACTGGCGGACTCCACTTCCATAAAGTCTCACCAACCAGTCTCTCGAGACATTGCCGTCAATCAGGCTGGGGAAGTTAGAACTAAATCATGAGTGCAGCAGCCATCGATTTAGCCCTTACAGTTTACTAATGTTCTAATTATGCCTGTCAACCAGGGAAGATTATTTCATTGAATCTTATTTTATTCTTGGTATTTTAAATACGTTCATTTAACAAAAATGTAAAAGACAAACAAAAATGTCTTAATAAAAATAAAAGGATTTGTCCTGTAAAATCATTTGGGACAGTCAAAAGGCCACACTTAAGGACCCACTACGCCACATGTGGCCTTAAGGCTGCAGGTGCCCCACCTTTGTAGAGTTTATCACCTCAGTCATCATTTGGCTAACTACCTCGCATGCCTAACAGGGTAACAGCACACCTTTCCTTCTTGAACTTATTCCCTCCCATACCCCACATGCCCAATTTGAAGGTGAATGAAAGGCCAATAGGACAGTGCACTAAGAGAATTTATGATTAATGAAAAGGCTGATCTGGATACTCCAACGTGGATGCCCTGTAGATACCACTACTTCCTTTTCATTATGTCCCTTCCCTCCCTGTGTTTGTACCATAGCTGTATATTTGGACAGATACAAATGCAGGAATTGTTGGCTTTCAATAAATAACTATATATACCCCCTAAAATGACAACTCAATAAATACCGTCAACAGGACAGAATCCTCACATGACTGTCTAACCACCAGGTGGCACATGCACTTATTCTCCGTGAGAAAATTCAGGTTTGTCTGTATTTCTGTCAGGGTTTGGAGGTAGAGAGAAGTTGGCATCATTCTCTTCCCTGAAATTAGATCTGCCAA